AGTGATAGAAGCAGATCATTTGAGCGGTTCAAATAAAGGGAAGAGGTACGGGTAAATCTCTTCTAAATGGAAATTCAAATTTCACGAATTGTAATTCGCATTGTTAAATAATTTGAAGAAAAAGGTGGAGAAATTAAATATATGTACTTTTTTATGAAAAAATTTGAAAGTTTTCCTAACATATTATGTGTACAGGTTTGAAGTGTGGACACGAAATGAGAACGTGGTTTAGAGATCAAATGAATGCACACATTGGGAGGAAAATGTTCCAATGATGCGTTCGTAGGTTTTTTTTTTTTTTTTTTTTTTTGGCATCCATGGGAGAAAGGGAGAATACGTCTATGAAAAATCCGCATTTTAAAAGCCTTAATATCGAGGTTAACTTTTAATGTGCTTGGAGAGAAGTGTACTTTTATGCACAGATTTAAAGGACAGTTGAGTGGTCTTTTTGCTTTTGTATAAGGTGGCTACGATTGTAATAAAATAAATGAAAGTCTATGCGCGTATTCACACCGTTTTATTGTACATTGTTCATCTTTTACGTTCCCGTCTATTCCTCTTTTATTTTTCAATTCATTATGAGTCTGTATAAGGCACAGTAACAATGTTACGATGCCCCACAAGATCAAAGTAAAAGGGTGGAAAATAACAGCAATACAGTTCTTTATATCGTGCGAGGGGAGTGGTAGCTCTTGTTTGATTTACGTATTCCATTACAAGCAACTTAATGGGATGCTACATACAGGCAATTACTTATTTCGCTCAAAAGGGGAACACATGTAGTTAGCTCACGGAAGAAAAATGCGCGTACATATACAAATGAGCGATCACAGATAATCGTTTATCTGTAGAATGCTATACCATTTGCACAAACTGAAACGATAACACAACATGGTTCGATAATTTTTAACATTTATGTTTTGTGAACGCTTAAAGGAGATTAAGAAGTTGTAAATTCGCGCCCATTATTCAACCTAATATTTTTACTTAAAATATTTTGCAATTTTTGCCAGAACTCAACGGCGAACGTGCGAATACGCATATGCATATGTATACCGTTTTTTCGAATGTAAATTTTTAAGAGAATAAATTTTTAAAGAATTTTGTTTCAAATTTTTCGGAAAAAGAAGAGAAGAAATTTATCCTTTGTGAATAATTTTGTATACGATAGTAAACTTGAAACTACGCTTAAAATACAAAGCATGCTACGCACCTGTTGTGAAGAAAAATGTCAACCATGTAATGGATGCGGTGAGTAAAGTGTACTTTGTAAGCACGGATGGCTGAGTGGTCTAAAGCGTCAGACTCAAGATCTGATGAACGTAAGTTCGCATGGGTTCGAACCCCATTCCGTGCATAAAAAAAATAATATCTTTTAAAATTTTATACATACAAAATACATAAAATATATATATATATAAATGTTATATTACATATATTTATATATTATAGTATTCATTTTTTTACTTTATTACAACTGTATGTAATTTGACACGATGTAGTAAAATAAATAACCATATGTAGCAAGGAAATTTGCGCAATATAATATGTAAATCTGAAAAGATGTTTTTAACGTGATTTTGAAAAATTCTATTGAATTTTCGCTTCTTACTTACACAACATTCGCAGAAACGTAGCGTTATTTAAAGGAATCGAATAAATATACGATTCATAGCGTTTGAAGATAAAATGTAGGTAACTATATCGATTTGAGAAGTCTGGGCATAGATAAAATGCTATGTTTTCTTCCCCGTATTTTTTTTATGTATCTCTATTCCGCAAATTTTATGGGAGGAAATGGGCCCATAAAAATTGGAACAATACACCTGCACTTTGCTGTTGTCTTGCGCGATCTACTTTTTTTATAATTCGCAAATCGGAATGATGAGCAATGAGACAGAAAGCGCCTGCAATAAGTGGTCTTAAATCTTATTGCATCAGTGTCTTGTTAGTTCAGGGAATTTCAGTGGGGCGTTCAATTTTACCAAATGTGGTTTTGATTATAACGCTATGTTATTATGTATGTGACACTTAATACCTTATCCGTTTGGTGAAGCAACACACATCATTGCGTTAAGCGGATGTTATTGGACAAAACAGAAAGGTATTCTCTCAGAGGCAGTACATAATAACAAATAAAACTGAAAAAGTGTTAAGGTATATTAATCTTCATTTCAGCTAGGAACTTTGTCCCATTAAATATTATTGTTTGGGGAAAGCATCATAACAGAACGTTCGTTGGGATAAGGCTTATATGGAGTATATATACTTCTAAAAGGAAAATGCCTCTTTGTTGGCTCATGGTTATTTCGCCCATGTGCTGAAACGCAAATATGCTTCCTTAAGTTTATAGTTCATTCTGAAGGAGAGTTTTTTTTTTTTTATTTTGGCCATTTCATACATTTTCACCTTCGTTGCATATTAGTGAAAGCTGTAAATAAATGCTTCCTCGGTAGGATGAATTACCGAAATAAGCCAAATGGAAGGAGGAAGAGATGAAAATGCATATAGTAAACAATTCTACCTTCATAAATTTGACCTCAAGGAAGGATTTACAGCAAATTTGCAAAGCTGAAAAGTTAAAAAGAAAAAAAAAAAAAGAAAGTCGTTACATAAAAAAAAAAAATTTATGCATTTTAAAAAATTTATTTATTTTTTTTATATAAACCGTTTGCGTCAACCGGGAGTCGAACCCGGGTCACCTGCTTGGAAGGCAGGTATCATGGCCGTTAGACTATTGACGCGTTAATATAGCAACTTTTCGCATTTGCTATATTTGTTAAAACATAATGATGAGCTCTTTCTCTCGTCTTCGCTCTGTGTTGCACTGCGGGATATGCACCGAAACCTTCGCAGACTAAGCGCTGTTTGATCTACACCCTATAAATTAAGAACGTCATGGTTTATTCACGTAAACGCATACGTGGTAATATTTATTACAGCATTGTTTGTCCATGTCAGCGAGCTATTTTTTACATGTACGAGATTTCTCAGGATAAATTCCGAAAATTTGTTTTGCGCAGATTTATACGCTTCACCGTCATGTCCCATGATAGCATAAAAACATTCCGTTCCATATATTAGTTCGTAAAAGCGAAAACGCAAAAAAGAAATTGACGAAGAAGAGGAAGAGTTATGGGCTTCACATTTAATAATTAGCAATTCAACAAATATGCATTTGTTGTAGGTGTATGTTTATTTGTATAGCATGATATGTAGCCCATTGCTTTTTATGCATTTTTCCCTTGCGCCCTTGTTAAGGAACCGTCTGTTAGAACCTCTACATGGTCATATAGCGTTTATGTGGGAAAAGGGAAAAGTCAAAATGCTGGGTTGAATCGTTTATAACAGGAAAACGCATTAAGTGTGATTCCGATTCGTTAATAACATAAAATAAGCATCCCTACTTGGCATTCCCCATTCGATATATCATGAAACATAAAGGTAAGTGCGCTCTTGTAGACACGTGCTAATGTAGAAGTTAAAATGTTCGTACATGTGACAGTGTGCACTTGCAAACCATTTGTGTACAGAAAAACACTTAATAAGGCATATAGGAAAAAAGGACAAAGTAATAGCAGCAGTAATGAAGATGAAATAAGGTGCTGATGGTTGACTTGTTCCCAATTTGATTAACCTCCAAAGGTGAATGTGTTTCTTATGATTTGTTTTACGGTCTATGACTTTATAAAATAAGAAAATGATGAGGAGATGGGCAAGCATAGATATTGATACAAACTTATGCTCTGAAGAATAAAGCCCCTGTCAAATGGCACTTTTTTTATGTGAACTTTGTTTTTGTTACTAATTAGATGCGCCGCACATGTTTAATGCAGTAAGTGTGGTGCATTGCTTCTCAATGTCTGCATCCATTAAGACGGTAATATATCATTTTTTGTTTTTACATAGTGCGTAAAATGCCATCAAATGTTACGCGTTAATAATAAATGCTGGAAAAAAAACTAACGCTTTGAAAAAGCTGTCTGCTATTTGTACATAAGTTTACAACCCTATATTCAACGCGGTTAAATGATTAGCATAAAAAAAATTATTTTATAGAAATGATAACCCTTCTTTGTTTTTTCCTTTTTTTTTTTTTTTTTTTGTTTTTTTTGATTATAATAACCTTCTTTTCTATTTTGCAAAGGTTGGACGCACGGGATGCAAAAAATGTAAATTCTGATCATGTTACAGCTTTTTTTATAGCGCGCGCGCTTTTTAGTTTGTAATTTCGTTTATGCACACATGAAAGGAAGAACAGGAAAATTTTAACAATTTCTCCCTCTTGTGCTTAATTTTTTCCACTTATATGTACTAATGGGGACCAAGGGAAATGCTTTTTCCTAGCGCCTTGAAAGCATATATAGCGTACTTTGAGATCCACCATTTTAAAATTGATTAACTTTTAAGTTACACAAAAATATTGGCTTTCTTTTTCATTTAAACATAAACCTTTATTATGGAACATGGATACACAGGCTTCACATACATATGGTGTTATATTGTACCCATGTCAAAAGATATGCATACGTATGTGTGTATTTTTACGCTTAAGAAATGGCAATCTTTTTGATGTAATTTCTCAACTATGAGTTTTAATATTGGTGAGATAATAACATTGCCATTTTACTTATTAACTTAGGGATGTTGCAAGCGGGAGGGGCAGCAAGGTTGTGTTTATTCCATTTTTTAAAAAAGGAGCAACTCACAAATGACTAAACGGCAAGTAACGTAAAATATTCTTCCAATATATGCGTAAATTAAAAAGGGTCAATTATGCGAATGCCCTTTGCGTTTGTGCAAATACATTTGTATGGTACCGTCTCTTTAGCATTATTTATAAAACTGAATCCGGCTGATAATAAGCCCAGGAATGGATAATCCATGATTTAATTTAAAATAATATGCATACCTCATGGATTTTACTTTGGGAATTGTAAAAAGGAACGGAAAATTTTCGACCATTTTTTTATGGCCACAATATATCTTGCCCCTAGCGCCTATATAACGTAGGCATACAGCATATCACCATTTGTGCTTAATTTTAAATTATGTTTTATGCTTATGTGGCTACCAGAAAAGCGCACAAATATTTGTACCAATGCGTAAACCATGCCCGGGGTTTTACTTAACATTATTGGGTGCTCAAGCATATGCATTAAAACTGTTAAAAGGGTTGTCCTGACACTATTATTTCTATGTTTAATTAAGAAGTCGAAAAGAATATATAAAAAGAGTGAAAGCACGAATACATAGTCGTGATTGTTACTTGCGCATTTTATTGACATTTCCATTTTGTGGGGACGAAGTCGCAAAATTAGGGAAGTCGCACAAAAAAAGGTTAGCTTGAAAGTTCTGTGCATTATATATAATATAGAAGTAGTAATACGGGTCATATTGACACTAAGAGAATCATATACACGTTTATCCCTCGCGAGGATTATTGTTGCGCCCAAAGTTGGTAACCTCTTTGATACGCTAATTATTCCTCTGCTGTAACGTGTATGCAAGGTATTTTTATACATATGTACAAAAGGATGGGAGGCTTTCCTTTTTTTTTCTTTTTCGTAATAACGCATAATATAACATTCGCCGTGGCGTAATTTTTTTTTGGGCCCATTTTAAGAAATCCCCATTTTTATTACATGAGCGCTATTTTAAATTTTAATTTAATTTTTTAAAATTTCTTGCGTACATATTTTTCTTTTCATTCAATTGAGCATAAAAGTATAAAAATTTTGTTTTGTACTTATCGTAACAAGTGTTAGCAGAACTCTGCAAAAAGAAAGAGAAAAAAGGTTTTTACTGAAAGTATATAGAAAACAATCGTACTTTTTTATTTAAATAAATTATTCTTTGCATTTTCTCAAGAGTTCACGACATATTTAATTATCAATCGTATAAGGCAAAATGGCAGCAGTTCCAGTGGCAGAATTAGCAGAATGCGAAAAGCAGGAGCTTTTATGTACTTACGCCGCGCTTATACTACATGAAGAGAATATGAGCATAACAAGTGAAAATATTGTAAAGCTTATAAAAAAATCAAACAATACAGTATTGCCGTACTTACCAATGCTTTTCGAAAAAGCCTTAAAGGGAAAGGATATTGAGTAAGGAAGAAAGAGAGCAAATAAAAATGTATATCAGTATATGGAGCGTACGTATTTATGCTGCAATTTCTGTACCAATGCATGTATGCTGATCATAAGGCAAATTCTGTATATATGGTCCTTTGTGCTGTTTTCCAATTATGCCTTACGTTTCATACGTATTTGTTAACCCGTGATTATGAATTAAGGGAAGCTATATAATGGCACACATGTATACATATGTGCATTTTGAGGAAACACTATTATTGTGTATACTGCATAACTGCGGTCAGGGCAGGATCACCCTGCGTACAATACCAGGTTGCACCTTGTGTGTGAAACGCGACATCTGTTTATCATCACCAATGAGTTGAAAAAACATTTTTTTTTTTCATTTTTTTCTCATTTTTTAGGGGCCTACTAAGCAATTTAAGCGTTGGCGGAGGTGCCCCTGCTGCAGCTGCACAAGCCGCAGCGGATAAGCCAAGTGACGATAAGAAGGAAGCTAAGAAGGAAGAGAAAGTTGAAGAGGAGGAAGAAGAAGATGACTTAGGATTTTCATTATTCGGTTAGAGTTATTGTAAACGGGAAAATAAATGATACAGACAAAATGATTGTACATTGAAGTATAAGATGACAAATTGGAAAAAAGAAAAAGAAAAAAAGACCCAACATATGCCCATTTTAACGAATTATTGAATTGTTTTCATTAATTTGTTGATGAAGAACTCTGATTGTGTAATTTAATCGAAACGATCACTTTTGCATAAAACTTTTTTCTCTCACCTTTTTTTTTTTTTTTTTTTTTTTTTTTATTTTTTTT